CTCTGATTGTTTTCTCCCCGAACATGAATATATGGAGTTGGAGTTAAGGTCGGTGGAGGTCCATGGGGCCCACAAGGATAGAGGGCGTGCCCTCCACCCTTGTGGCCAGGGTGTGGGCCCCCTTCGGTTGATTCTTTCGCCAATATTTTTTGTTTATTCCAAAACCAATCTCTGTGAAGTTTCAGGTCATTCCGAGAACTTTATTTCTGCATAAAAATAACACCATGGCAATTCTGCTGAAAACAGCGTCAGTCCGGGTTCGTTCCATCAAAATCATACAAATTAGAGTCCAAAATAAGGGCAAAAGAGTTTGGAAAAGTAGATACGACGGAGACGTATCAGCCGGGGCGCCGGAAAGCTCAGCCAGGAACGGGGTGGAGGATGCTGTAGCGGAACCCTCTCTTTATTCAGCTGGGGAATGGCCTATCTAGCAGCGGTGGGTGGGTGGGCGGCGCCGGGAGGGCGTGCATGCGTGCAGGGGGGGCGAATCTGAACGTGCAAGATGCGTTTTCGCCTGACAATGGTGGCCCAGGCGCGGTTTTCCCTTCCGCCGGAGCCCCCAAGTGCCCACCAGTGCGCTGGGTTCGGCCTGGGATCGCTGGGCGACAAGATGGACCGAACCGGCGGATGTCGGCATCCTGGGGACGCGACTGGTTTTTTTTGGCGATGTCGCAAAAGAACTCGCTCTGGGGGGCCTATTGGGGGCGCGAGTGGAGATGCTCTAACACACCTTACTTTATTCATTAGCAAAGAACCTTGACACTACATCATACAGGTGTTGAGGTCTGCAATAATAATTTCAAAATATATTTATTTTGATTAGTATCAAGTGCTAAGTTTTGTAGAGATGTAGAGATTTTTTTAGCTTAGTAGTACTCCCGGAAATCCATTGCTGCTTCCGGGAGCATGCGCTCCTGCGTGCGAAAATATTTTTTGAAATGCCAAAAAAATTTCAACAGAAAATCTATGTGTTCTTTGTCATATCCAAATGCTACATACAAATTTTTAGGCAAAAAGATTAAACATTTTGGCCTGTGCAAAAAAGAAACACCAAATGTTACCCTAAAATATCATCCTAAATTTGTTTTTTCACCGGCGAGGCACTGCTGCTCTGTTTCGCATGAAAATTTTCAAGAATGCTTATGACACTAACACGAACATCTACAAAAAAAATTCAGATTTTTTTGAAAACATTTACTATATCTTTTTTGTTTACTATTCAAGTGGGAGCGCACGCTCCTGGCAGCCAAAATGCCATTCTCGTAGTACTCCCTCCTTTTTTATTTACTTCACATATTAACTTTGTCTCAAGTCAAAGTTTATAAACTCTGATCAAGTTTATACAAATAATATTAACATGCACAATACCAAATCAATACCATTATAATCATCATTGAATATATTTCCATATCATGTATATTTGTTATTGTGAAAGTTTAAATTGTTATTTATAAATTTGATCAAACTTTAAAAAGTTTGACTTAGGTCAAAGCTAATATGCGAGTAAATAAAAACAAAGAGAGTATACAGATAAATTTTGAATTGAGACAAATTACAGGCGATATCCAAAAATTTCGGCCGTAATAGCAATATTGAGATATTTTAAATAGTATATAAATACATTTGAATTGCACCTTTTCAAAAATTTGCTCATGTCATTTGCGTACTTCTTCTAGTATGTCAAACAAATCACAATTATTGCATAAAAGTTGCTGAAGTCGTAGGGCATCTTTGGTTCATGACTAATTTTGCCACAATTAACCTTGGCAAACTATGGCTGACACAAAGGGTATGCCGAACAAAATGGCCATCACACGCGTGACAAGATTTGACAAAAAAACTTGCCCTATGACATGTAGACCATGTACCCCCTCCGTCCGGTTATAAGTGTGCATCTAGTATACAAATTTTTCCCAGAAAAAGTGTACATCTACACTTCTTATACAGTTAATAAATGCAATCAACCCCTAGTAATCGTTGCCCCCACTCTATCCTCCAATCCCATTCTTCTCCCCCGCATCCCCCCCAATCATAATTCTTCTCCTTTAATTTAATTGGTGGAGACTAATAAGAGAGAGAGAACTAATATGTCAGAGTGCGGCTAATCTGCACCCGGGCTCAGTTGCACCCACGCTTAGAAAAAAAATTCAAAACAAATACTAGAAAAATTCAAAAAATTTCAATTTTTTTTGTGGTGGTAGATAATTTGACACGTGAGGTGCGCCCCAAAATTCAACTCATTTGAGCATCTGAGCAGCTCTCGGCAAAAAAGACAAAATCAGGGTCTGTAAAAATGTTTACTATTCACGCACTATTTTGACCCGATTTGTCTTTTTTGCCGAGAGCTACTCAAATGTCTAAATAAGTTGAATTTTGGGTCGCACCTCACGCGTCAAATTATCTACCACCACAAAAAAATTGGAATTTTTTGAATTTTTCTAGTATTTTTTTTTTGCTGAGAGGGAGCAGATGAGCCCGGGCTCCAGGATGAATTATGGAATATGTCATCCATTTTCTAGATGTACACTTACTACCGGACAGAGGGAGTAGCTACTAAAATATGACATTGCGATAAATATGGCAATGAACCAAACACACATAAGGGGTGTGTTTGGTAGGATGCATGAGCACATACATTCTCTTCTCGACCCACCTGGAATCACTTTGGGATGTTTAGTAGGGTGCTCCTCCTTAATCTCAACTATGCTCATTTCATAGAGAAAGGCCCTTCTCAGCTATGATAATGAACAAAACATACGCTAAGGGCAAGTTGAGACTGCAAACGAAACATTAGAACATGCTCATAGACGTACAAATTATGTATGCAATCTCACCTAACCCTCTTGCACCCCTGGTGCACGACTAGACTAGAGCGTAGCACATATGGTTAAATTCTCTGTAATGGAACCAGCACAGTAAGGTTCAAGTTCTAAACTTAGTGGTTGCATTTTCTTAGATTTATTTTTGGTCATTCGGCATTGTGTGTTCAGTGGAAGGAGACATTTTCATCGACTACAGAGATGCTTACAGGGATGAGGTGTGCGTGCATATGTTCATATGGTTGAGTGTATATGTGTATGTGCAAGCGTCTAGCGTCCGTGTTAAAAAAAGGGAAACGTTTCTACCCGGTGCGCCGGCCGAAACGTTACGCCGGTCGCACGCGGGCCTTGCGATCGCTCACGATCGTGGCGACGGGAGCGCTCCTTCCGAACCGTTTTTTTCTCCACTGATTCATCCTCTTCTCTCGTCTCCTTCCTTCATCTCCTTCCTTGGTCCAAACACAGAAGAAGCACGCCAGGACCTTGAGCCGCCAACTGCTGTGCCCGTTAGTGGCTCGCGCGCGCGTATCCCCGCGCGCAGAACGCCATGTCGCACCCCGCCGTTCCAATACGACGACATGGCCGCGCCTCGCCGTGCAACATCCTGCCTCCTTCCCGAGGTTGTAGCTTGCCACGGCCGCCATTGTAGCCCTGACCTGTTTGGTCACAACTCTTCCCCCATCCCGATTGCAACACCGTGCCGCTCGTCACCTGCAAACAGAATTCGCCGTCTGTGATTCACAACATCCCACCCCCCATCAACCTCGCCGGGCTCGTCGGCGCACTTGTAGCATCATGGCAGCCATGAAAATGGTTTGTAGCAAATTCCATCGCCTTTTGTAGCAAAAGTCAACTATGGTTGCAGCAAAACATCGTCATCGTCGTCACGGGTCGCAGCTAAGACACAAAATTTGAAGCTTTTTTCAATGCCGGATGTAGCTTTTGTAACCGCCGGTTGCAGCTTTTCGTTGTCGCCCATGGTGTTCATCTCTACGGTTGAAACTTTTTTCGTCTACGTATGAAGCTTTTCTTGTCGCCAGATGAAGCTCTTTTGTCAGCCGGTTGCAACTTTTGGTGGTCGTCCATAGCTTTCGTCGTATATGGGTTGAAACTTTTTTCATCGCCGGTTGAAGCATTTTTCATTACTGTTTGTAGCTTTTTGGTTTTTGGTTGCAGCACTGGTCATCTCTCGACGGGGGCAAGCGAGATGTTGCAAGCGTCAGGGATGAGCGGCGGTGAGTACGCCGGCGAGCTGCAGTCGTCGCCATCGGAGCTACAACGGTCGCCACAGGAGCTGCAACCGCAGGGTGCGGCTGTTGTATGGGCGAAGCCGGTGATGAGGACGACCGACGAGGGGCTGGGACCGGCGACTAGGACGACCGGCGAGGACGTCCGGCGAGGGCAGCGACCAGAGATGAGGACCCAGGCAAAGGACGCCGACGGGAGAACGCGTGCGGCCGGAGAGAACGGAAGGGACAATAAGATCGATGCAATGGATTTTTCTCGTACGGGTGTTACTTTAACGGAGACGAAGTGCATCGGACGGTTCCCAGCAAACAAATCAGACGGCTGCGGGCTGACGCCGGTGCGCCGGCGCAGATTACCTCCCTAAAAAAAGCCATAGGTATATAATGGGAAGCACCCAACCCACCTGACGTCACCGCTCTCGCCTTCCATTTCCGGAGCTCGCCTCCCCGAAATAAATTCAAAAATCTCTCCCACTACGGCCACGCGCACCGATCTCCCTCGCCGAATCCCCAATCCCCCTCGATCCGCCGGCAGATTCCCTCCCGCATTCGCTCCACTCTGTCCCCGTCCCCCGCCTCCTCGCGCTCCCCCCAATCGGCGGCGGATCTCGGGCAGGGTGCTCGAATCCGTCACGGGATTTCCTGCCGTCCGGAGCTCTTTTTATCTTCTCCGAGCCGGAGATCTCAGCGCGATTCCGGCCCCCGCGACAAGCTTTTACTGCCCCGGCGGCGGGTTCAGACAGCGCCGCGGCTGCGGTTGCGGTTGGGGTGCTGTTGGCGCGTCGCGGCATTGGATCGGACCGGACAGGAGAGGAGAGGTTGGTGGGCGGTGGTTCGGTGGGTGGGGCGTCCGGACCGTGATCTGCGCCGCTGCGCCGGCCCAGCGTAGCGGGGCGATGAGAGCTGGCGCCGAGGCCCCGAAGGCGGCGGAGGCATGAGCGGCGGGGCGTCGCTGGGGCTCAGGACGTCCGGGAGCTATGGGTCCCTGCAGCAGCCCAACGGCCAGTCCCCCTCCCCGTCGCCGCCGGTGGCGGTCCGGAAGCCCGCGAAGATGTCCCTCGGCGGCGGCGGCCCCGGCGCCGCCGGCCGCGGGGGCGAGCGCCTCCTCTTCGCCCGGATCTGCATGTTCGCGGGCCGTCGCCGCCGGATGCTCCTGCTCCTCCTCGTCGCCGTCGCTCTCGTCGTCTGCTTCCTCTTCTCATCACTTGTCAGTAAAGGTGGTGGTTGTGTTGCTTTTGCCTCACGTTTCATTCCTAAACCTTTGTTGTGACTGCTATCGTGACTTGATGAAATCCTTACCAGTTACTGCTATCTTGTTTTTCATTCATTTGATCAGTGAAGTTCATTGGAATGATACGATGCTACTTGCAAACAGTATTATTGTATGATTCATGTAGGTGTTTCCCATCACTAGGAGTACAAAACACAAGGGTTCCTGACTTCCTGTTACCTGTGCATACTTCACTTTTCTTATTCGCAAGTTATAGGATGTCCATGAGTATATTATCATTATGTATTAGTGTTGGGGGCCTTTATGTACACAGGAAGATTTGAGCTCATAGTTGACTTTCAAATTGTAAAAGGTTTAGTGAAGTGGAAATGCCAGCAAGACCTTGAGTAATGGAAAAGAAATAGTATATGGATCGATGTTTGAATATTCCTGTGCTGGCTGGCAACCATGTTTCCGTTTGGATTGATTATTGTGTAAGCATTTGAATGTTTGACCACTTTGCATCACCTTTGACTCTAGCTGACTGATTTGATGCAAATGGATTAGCATGCTATTATTTAGTAATTGAAATCAGGCAAGCAGTGTCAATATTTCTGTTATAGTTAAGCTAGACAAGTTTGCACTAGAGACTGTTAGATGATCTTTGGTTTGCTAGACAATCACTTCAGTTTCCAAGTCACTTCAGTCAGTTCTTTGGAACTGAGCTGCAGACTTTGTTCTGGATTTTTATTGTGTGATACAGTTAATATGATATAGCTATTCCTCGAGTTGATGCTTTACAAATTGAAAAGTGCTAATGTTGACAGTGCTGTCAAAATCTGTGCCTTTCTGGTACCTTGTAGGCAGGCCTTTGGCTTAGTATACCTTAGAATTGTTTATTTCCGCTATCATTTAGTCAGCTGCTTTTACATTTTTATTCTTACCAATATGCATATTGTTTGACTTCGACAGGCTAATGTATGCCTTATGAATTTTAATAAGATTCGTTTCATCTAGTAGTCAATTTGTACAAATAGCATGGTTTTGATAACAATAGGTTCTTCTGGATCTAATCATTCCAGTGTATTATTAGGATTTCATTGGCTTGTGCTAATTTTTCATGGGCTGGCAGGCCTTCTTACCAATATGCATATTGTTGGCGGTTCTACTGAATATCTGTTTGTCTAACCCTGATAAGACAACATGGTATTTCTTTTCATATGTTGTTTGCCTGGAATGTTGTCTGCTAAACGTTTTGTTTTGAGTAATAGCTAAACTGATCTAATCTACTTTTTAGTTTGTAACAAAGTAAGGCATAACCTTTAACTGTTGTGTTATCTCTACGTTTTTACTTATGTATCTTTGAGTACTGAACCACAAAATCTTCTTTTGGTTGGCTGTAGATGAAGTTGCAGCACCTGGTACCGAGACCATGCTGGGATTATCTGATCATGTCCGGAGCTTTGTAAATCCTGTATGGACATCTTCTTTGAGTGGAAATGATTTGAATACAACATCACCAACAGTAAAACAGCCGGACATCAGTCATGAAAAGGTTCAGGGTCTTTCACGGAGTTTCCCGCCAGCTATTCACCTGGAGCACCATCCTTGTGAAAGTTTCTCATTTTCTCCTCCACCTATTGATAGGAAACGTACTGGACCACGGCGTAAGTTCCTCACCAGTCCAATTCAGAGTTACATAAAAGTTCTGAATCTGATTATATTATTTTAAACTTGTGTAGCATGTCCTGTTTGTTATGTGCCTGTTGACCAGGCCCTGGCATTGATGCCAGCTGCTCCAACAGCATCACCTATCCTTCAAAGTTTAAATTATTTGTCTGGAGACAATTTGGTACTCAAAGAGTCCAACAGTGGTTCTTTGTTTGGTGGTTATCCATCTCTGGAACAACGAGATATGTCTTTTGACATAAAAGACTCGATGACAGTACATTGTGGGTATGTCCTTGTATGACTCAAATGCTTTGACTCTTGTACGTTCATATGATGACGATGTGCTGTATCACTAACCTTTTCTTTGTGTTATAAGATTTGTGAGAGGGAAGATACCTGGTCTCAATACTGGATTCGATGTAGATGAAGCTGATCTGTCTGAGATGCGGCAGTGCCAGGGGACAGTTGTTGCTTCTGCTATTTTCGGTAGCTGCGTCCTCTTTCTATGCCAGTTATATTTACATGTCATCATCTTTCCATGTCGGTGCTAATTGCACATTTTGTGTGAACTTTTCTCAGGGAATTATGATATAATGCAACAACCAGAAAACATCAGTGAATTTTCAAAAGATACTGTTTGCTTCTTCATGTTTCTGGATGAAGAAACAGAAGCTGCAATAAAGAACACCACTGCTGTTGATAATATGAAAAAAATCGGGCTGTGGCGGGTGGTTGTTGTCCATGACCTTCCTTATTCGGATGCAAGGCGGAATGGAAAGGTAACTGTACTGTATATTTGGTTATTTGATTGTCCCAATCAAATCTTTGGAGAGCCAGTTATTTCTGGCATGGAGATTGCGCACAAGTTAAAATTCAGCATAGCGGGCAATGTAAACTAAAAGTTACTTGTAAAGATAATTCTACACAGTCTGCTAAAAACCTACATGCATTCTTGTCTAGATAACTGATCCATCCCAGACAAACATGTTCTCATTCTATTTTGCATTGGATGAGTATGTGAAAATTTGGATTGCACAATCACGAGAGGAGGATGCCATGCTTAATGTGAATCAGCATTCGTGATTTGTTTATCTAATCGTTTATTTCCCTTGTGGTGATTTTTTAACTGAGTCCCTTGTGATATTTTCCTCAAACAGATTCCAAAACTATTACTTCATCGGCTCTTTCCTAATGCGCGGTATTCACTCTGGATCGATGGGAAACTTAAACTTGTGAAGGATCCTTATCAGCTACTAGAGAGGTAAACATCATGTTCTCTCACTGAGCTCTGTCTGCTACTTGTTGTAACTACTCTGCACATAACTCAGTGCCACTTATGCTCTATATGTTGTATTAAGTTCCAAGCTGCACCATATTCTTCTTACTCTAATATTTTTTCTCTGAGTCTACTCTCACCAGGATTTTGACATGTTATTTTCTGATTCTGTATCACTGTTATGTTGCAGATTTTTATGGAGGAAAAATGTGAGCTTCGCTATTTCCAGGCATTATAGACGCTTTGACGTCTTTGAGGAAGCTGAGGCGAACAAGGCTGGTGGGAAGTATGATAATGCTTCAATCGATAACCAAATAGAGTTCTACAAGCGAGAGGGCTTAACCCATTATTCATCAGCTAAGCTTCCTATTACAAGCGGTAATTGGTTCTTCTCACTGAATTCTGATATAGCAATATTTCTCGTGATAACACAAGGATACATTTACCTTGAACAGATGTCCCTGAGGGCTGTGTAATAATAAGAGAGCACATACCCATCACCAATCTCTTCACATGCCTTTGGTTTAATGAAGTTGACCGCTTCACCTCAAGAGATCAGATAAGCTTCAGCACAGTGAGGGATAAAATAAGGTCAAGAGTTAATTGGACTGCAGACATGTTCCTGGATTGTGAAAGGCGTGATTTTGTTGTTCAGGTACTTTTGAGTTAATGCTTTGCGTGGCGCATTTACTTTTTCTGCACACCCTGTTGTTACGGTATACTCCCTCCGTTCCTAAATGTAAGTCTTTGTAGAGATTCCACTATAAATCACATACGGATGTATATAGATGCATTTCAAGTTTAGATTCATTCATTTTGCTCCGTATGTAGTCCACCTAGTGGGATCTCTACAAAGACTTATATTTAGGAACGGAGGGAGTATATTACTGATAGCCTGAAAAGGTAATGGAATGTAAAACCCAAAAAATGATTGATAGTAAGACATTTTGCAGCCTGGCTTCTAGTAATGCACAAATAATCAAATAGGATTACCTGCAACTGCAATGCACTTATTCCGGAACAGCATTGTCGTCTGTTATCGGTCCCTTATTTCTTGTGTATGCCATCCTTACTTTGCAGGCATACCACAGAGAACTCATGGAGCAAAGGCTGGCTGCCTTACGGAGCCAGCCTCCGCCGCCTCCACCTCCACCTCCACCGCCCCCTCCCGTGGTGCGTGTGCAGCAACCTCGAAAGATGCTCCCAGACAGCGCACCAAAGGAACCTGGGAGAGCTTCCAAGAAGCCAGCAGGGAGGCGCTCACGGAGATCAGGCTCGAAACGGTCCCATCGAACGAAAGCCTCCAGCGTGAAGGAACCCATTCGACTGTAAATCTGTCCAGGCGAAATTTTGCTCCCATACAACTGAAGATCGACTCGGTTTGGTTTACTCCTATTTAACTTGTATTCATGTTCCCCTCCCAAAGGCTCGGAAATTTTGTCAGGACTTGTTGATAGAGGATCACAACAATTTTTTGGGGTGTAAATAAACATTTTTAAAATAAAGATGGGTTCAGTTCTTTTAGGCCTTTTGGGTTCAGAGATTAGAAGGCCGGTAGCTATCAGAGGGTGGTGTGGATCCGTCAGGAGAGACCCTTTTGGGTAATGTAGCTCCCATCAGTTGAGCTGTCCGGTCTGCTCACCTGAGTCGTGCTGTCAATCATGAAGCACATAGTCTAGCTAAGTTTTCGCTTTCTCTAGATTTGGGACGCCACGTCTGGTGTGGCGAACCCCCACGCTCCGTGGTTTTGATGAATAAACATAGCTTTTCCACTAAAAAAAAATCTGGTCTGGCACCTGTAGTGGCGAGGGCGTTTTTAGATTGCTGCCAAAAGCTGCCTTCAGTTGTGTTTGAAGCATGGCCAAAAACTACCTTGCCAATGTTTTGGTCAAGAGCAAGGACTTGAGTGAACTCTGACCTTTTTTAGACCATGGTCAATTTTTTTGGCAATGCCAATGCTGTTTTGCCCGCTCGGCCAAATCATTGGCTAGTAACACCTTGATCAAAATTTTGGCAAGCCAGATATTTTTCAAGGCAAGCCCAGCCTAAAACAAACACAGCGAGAGCCACGAGCCTTCACAACGCGCCCACGAAGCTCCAATTAAACATGGACGATGTCCACGTACGGGGTACTGCAAGACACGCATCGCCGACATTTGTTCTTTTCGAAACACAATACAAATGCAGATGTTCACAAACAAGGACATATATTCAACCCATGGGCATCACGCAGACACGCACGCCTCGAAGAGACTAGGCCGGACCTCTTGAGGTTGACGAAGTCGCTACAGCCACTTTGGTTACCACTGGAAAATAAAGCCGGTTAACTAAATCCTATAACAAATTCAGTAAAATGTAAGCATCCTCCACTGAGATTACACGCTGTCCACCGGAGTCACAGTCCTCGGTCGATCGGGATCGAACGACAGGAACGCGACGCGTTTTCCACGTGAATGCTCGTGCCGTGCCGTGCCGTGCGTGAGGCGCTCGGTCGACGACGAGCGACGGCGCGGTGCGTGTCGATCGCGCGAGGAGGCCGCGGGCCCGGCGGCGAGCCGTGCCGCGACGGCGCGGTGCGTGTCGATCGCGCGAGGAGGCCGCGGGCCCGGCGGCGAGCCGTGCCGCGACGGGCGGAGAGGCCCGTGGAAGCCTCTCGTCTCGTGCGTCGACGGGCCGTGGCGTCGCGATCGCGCGCGGCACCGCGGCGTGCACGCACACGCCGCGGTCGACCGGTCTCCTCTGCGGCTAGACGGGACGGATCATGGAGTGCGCAGCTGGAGGAGCCGGCCCTGCACGCAAACACCGTGGCCCCGGCGAGGAGGCATTATTGGACGGGGCCACGAGGGCCGGGACGCGGGGGATCGAAATCGAACGTGGGCGACGGATTCCCTTTCCATTTCCTTTCCTTTCCCACGGCGCCGGGGGATTCTCTCCAGCGCGCCGCGTCGCTGTGGCTTGCGCGAGATAACGTTTCCTAACGTGCAAAACGATCAACGCGCGCACTCATTGAGGTGGTCCCTCTAGACTTGCTGAAATGATACTTGTTTTGAACGCACACAAGAGGATGATTGATCCATTTGGGATTCTTCGTAAAACTTGTCATTTTATCGATGCTCGGTCAATCCTACGGATAACAGCTGGTGTGGGGGAATAAAGCTACTAGAGCGGGTAGCAAGTGAGGTCACGCAAAAGCTTCGAGGGGATGGTGTCCTTGAGTGATGCTTTGAAGACAACTTTGCCTAGATGAAGCAAACTCTGTTGCGCCATTGTTGTTGCTGGTCTCCTGGATCTAGTTCAATACGTCTACTTCATATACGTCTTCTGGTTTTATGTACTCCATCCGTTCGGAAATACTTGTCGCTCAAACGGATTGAGCGACAAGTATTTTCGGACGGGGGTAGTATATGCTTGGTGCGTTGGTCTAGCCTTCGTTTCGTGGCACCGTTTACTAAACTTGTACTCCCTCCGTCCGAAAATATTTGTCGGAGAAATAGATGTATCTAGATGTATTTTAGTTCTACATACATCCATTTTTATCCATTTCTTCGACATGTATTTCTGGACGGAGGGAGTAGCTCTTTTGGAAATGTTGCTTTGTGATGTTTTTCTTTTGCGAAATGTGATGTTGGCACTTAGATCTTTGCTATGCCCATGTATGATATGGTTGTGGTCTGGTTTCCACCTTTGTCAGTCTAGGCTCTAGTTGTACCCAGTGATCTAGGTTGCGTCGGTGGATCACTTAGATACAGTGTAGTTTGGTGTGCGTATGTGGATCACATGTGAGCCTCTATATATGGATCTCTTAATGAAAATCAGGGGAAAACCTGTTTTGCTAAAAAAGAGGAAAACTACTCGTCTAAGAAAACTCACCAAGCACATACTTGAAGATCGACATTTGTACAAGTACTAATACGAAATCCCTAACAAGATGACTAATCAAACAAAACAAAAACTCTTGGGATTCCTTTGGTTCAAAGGAAAGGTGGAGGGATTACATAAGAATGGAAAAACAAATCTGTGGTGGCATTATTTGAGCATATGGTTCAAATGAATGTCGCAAAGGAAAAATGGAAAATATTTTTTCCCTTTTTCTCAATTTCAGAGAAAAAACACAGGAATTTTACACTCTATTTGGAACTCCTTTACAAATTCCTACACATGAAGAGCGAGACTAAGATACTTAGTGATATCATAACAACCTAATTATAACTTTCCGTGTGATATCATAATCCCTAACAAGATGCGTTTTTATTTTTGTTAACCAAACATGCAAGTTTGCAAAACTCCTACATTTTCTAATCCTCTGTACTCCTTCCATTACACATGCATTCATATCCAATTCCTGATTTTTTATTCTTTCATGCGTTTCTAGAATCATGTGAACAAAAGGAAGGATTCGTGTTTAGAAATGGCATCGTAAAGGAGCACTATACAAAAACTACTGATGCATTCACCTTTTACTTTTTTTAAAGGCATCCTTTTATCGTTTCTTTACAATAGGTCATACACCGCTCATAAAAGAGTTCAAACTTCCAACATTTGCATCGAGATGCACACAATAAACAAGAGTACAAAAATAAAATGAAGAACAAGCCACATGATTAAAAGTCGATGTCATGTGAAGAAAATGCAACTCTCATCTCAAAAGGCACACAACTCAGCTTGGAACTCCAATGAAGGCTAGGTCACCATATATGTTGGGTAAAAAACCTGGCAACAACCTCCAACTAAATGCACACATTTACCAACAAATTGCAGTCCTCCTGCCAGGGAATGATATATTAGGCATGAAGCCTTCTATTCCACATTCAAATATGGAACGGAAGCAACATTAAAAGCTCCGAAGCGCATGAAAGTGCAACTATAACCAACAGAGCCATATTTTCTAGCAAATCATGAAGGCAATTGAACTAGAGCAGCAAACATAGTTACAAAAGATAAACAACCATTTTGATAGTTTTGGTATCAACAAAGCCGCTTCCAAGTTTAGGGCCTCTTTAATTCAAAGGGGTTTTGGAGGATTATAATCGCTAGGGAAATTTTCCATTTTGATCGTTTGATTTATATGATTGATCTTCAAGATTTGCTTAATACATTCCATAGAAGATCTATCATCCACACAAACTTCTTGAAAAAACATCATTTGTTTGTCCTGTGATGCAATAGAAAAAATTCATTTGATGAAATTTGTGCTATTTGGCGTTTACATAAGAGTAAACATGTGCTTAATCCGGTTATCGATGCCTCCTTGTGGAGCATTTGGAAATTGAGGAATGAATTTTGTTTCCAGGGGCGTACATGGAAAAGTTTGAACCGCGTTCTCGTCAAGCTAAGGGGCATTCTTCTTTGATGGTTGGCACTCTGCGACGACACACATGCAACGCTGCTCCAGCGTTGCATTTTGCTACTTGGACAGGCACCACGGAGAACTTCTTCAGATCGCCTGGAGATGATCTCCGCCCCATTGTGAGACAACGTCCTAGTCCTCGTCCACTTGCTTCTAGGGTCTATAATAATGCTTGAAAAAGATGTTGTTCTAGTTTGGTACTATCTGTAATAGTTTGAGGTCGACTCAAGTATTTTCTCCAGACAATCCATTTCGTAGCCTGGGTAGTTTGCGAGGGTGTGTTGGCAGATATGCCAGAACATATTTTCAGTTTCTCTTTGCTGCTTCATCAATAAAAATGGGGCAGGGGGAGACCCCTTTCTTTCAAAATAATAGTAATAATAACTCAAATCATGTAGGCTTTAAATCAATACAACCGATGGCGGAGCTTTTTTCCGAGATTACACCTAGACGTACCATATTTTTATAGAAGGCAGAAATCAAGTACAAGAGACTGTAACTTGTTGCGAACAATAATTGTAGCAAAAACTCCACGCCAAGCTAATCAAAAGATTAGCCACCACAACTAATACAGACACAATACAAAGGAGCTTTCCCTAAACAAATCTACAAGCCGCGTCTCGACCATCACCGGTTTGTTGGGGAACATAGCAGAAATTCAAAATTTTCCTACGTGTCACCAAGATCTATCTATGGAGAGACCAGCAACGAGTAGAAAGAGAGTGCATCTACATACCCTTGTAGATCGCTAAGCGGAAGCGTTCAAGTGAACGGGGTTGATGGAGTCGTACTCGTCGTGATTCAGATCACCGATGATCCTAGTACCGAACGGACAGCACCTCCGTGTTCAACACACGTACAGCTCGACGATGTCTCCCACGCCTTGATCCAGCAAGGAGAGAGGGAGAGGTTGAGGAAGACTCCATCCAGCAGCAGCACAACGGCGTGGTGGTGATGGAGGAGCGTGGCAATCCTGCAGGGCTTC